TGTCGTCTTCTAATTGTAATATGAGTCCATAGAGTGCCATAATCTCAACAAAAGGGCGCTGATAGTCCTACATATATTTGTGAATAGTTATCGCTTCACTAGTTATCTATATATTTGCAGCAGCCAAGTGAGCAAAATCAAATATCAGTGTGGCCTCAAAGAGCAAAATAATTGACTGTGATCAGGGAGCAATGCCAGTGTAATGAGGAATAACTAGAACTGGTCCTCACCCAGTTCCTCCACTTCTTCACGTCTCTCTAGCCAAATTGGGCCTGGTGTTATCGTGGAATAGGTGGACAGAAGCTGGACTCGGTCGTCTTTCTTTGATTCCCAATCTCCCCAGGTCTGGAGAAGGAGTCTTGGCTTTAGTTTTATTAGGTGGGATAAGGATGGTAGAGAAAATGGTGATTATAATGTTGAAAAAACTCCATTTGCTAAGTAAAAAAAAATTAAAGAAGAAAAAATGTCATATGGTTTCTTACCATCCTATAATTAGCCTTGAAGATAACCACGTTGCGACCGTTACACGAGTGCTGGTGTTAGGCACCCTCTTAACCTAAACACGGACCTCAGGTATAGGCATCGGACTACTTACGAAGACAAGTTAATTCGATAACTTCGTAGTAATTGCAATAAGCAACATAAGTAGTATCGTAGTATACGTTAGAAATATATGATAGCCGTCATCAAAAATGTAAAAGGTGAGGAAATATTAGGTAGCAAAAATTATCCGCCTTTTTTTTAGGCTCACGGCTCTTGATTGGTTTTTTTGATGACTTGTTGATTTTTTGTTGATTGTTTCCAAAGGTTATGATGTGGCCTGAATGCACGCAATCTCGTGTACATTTTGATGTACAACATTGTGTATTCACTTCACCATTGAGCCTACACACGAGCAAAAAAGATTGCCCCGATATCTCTGCATCAGCTGGTAGAATCAGTGAAGCCTGGGATGAAGGGACGCTTGGACAGAAGACTGTTCAAAAGCGTTTATTGATCACGCATTTATTGTAGTTGTTTGGTCTTGTTATGAGTGAAATGAAAACGACTGAAATCTTTCGCTGCAACTAATAGATTATTTGGTCCGCCTCTGCCCCTTGGTTAATGTCAACCTTTGGGCTGTCAGAGAGAGAGGATTGATGTAGAACGGTTGAATGGTAGGGAGTATGCGTGAGTAAGAAGCTAATGTTATGTGGAAGAAATGTTATTAATGTACGAGGAAGAATTAATGCAGAATCAAAACCATATCCAATCAAAACCCAATTATAAGAACATCGAGTACATTTCGAATCTTGGATCGTGACTCGCCCGGGCCATCCAAGCCTTCCCTCCCTTGCCAGGCGGTCAATTGGTACCTTCAGACGTGTCTGAAGAGGAAAAAAGACTGACTTGTACATCGCAAACGCCACCGCGAATGTACAAATGGAAGTAGAGTGCGTGCCGCATCCCAGAAATTGATTGATCAACAGCAAATGCTTTATCCTTCGTCCTTTATACATTTCGAAAATTTCTATTGAATATAAAAGCTTAGAAAACTGGTCCAAAAATATACTAGTACCCATTTACACTACTATAACATAGCCCATTAGGGGGTAAGACCATAATTAACGAACGAGCCTGATATGGTAAAGAACCGTTGTCGATGCATGACAAAAACATAGAGATGGCTGATAGAGGAAGTAATTGGTTGGGAACAAGTTTACAAGCTCAAGGTCAATTCATGAACCTTCCATATTGCCTCTTTCCTATTTGTTCCTATCGTTTTAGCTTTTTAACTTGCAAGAGTTGCCTTCTTTTCACCTCTTTGATGTCGACCTATTAAGTTTGCACGTTGGCCTATTTCGAACATCTGTAGAATACCTCGATTTATTTCTCGCATTCGAACAATTCTCGAGGTTTATCAAAATTCTTACGCTTTCAGGAAAATGCGCCTCAAACTACTGTTATCACTTTGGATACCGTTAATACACTCTCCAAACACAACTCTTCGACTATGGTGAACGAGCTGGCGATCAGGTAAGCTCCTAGTTCTCTTCTCTGCGTTTTCTTTCATTACTTTCCTTTCGTTTCCTCTTCCCCTTTGCGATCGTTTTCATACTGAGAACTTTTTGCTGTGCTAACCCAAGTATGTCATTCTTTTTGGTGTTTTCCTTCCGAACGATTGCTCGAATGTGGACAAAGAGAGGCGTGGGAACGCCCACGCTCTTCGTTGTTCAACTGTATCTCTTTGTTCGTTTCCTCCGAATTCGTTAATCATTTTCAACGGCAGCGATCACTCTCGTGTGACAATTGCTCGGGAAAATAGACTATTCATACGGGAAAAAGGGCTATTGAGCGCTATTGTAAGGGAGACAAAACTGCAACAATTGTTGTCGATTTAGTGCTGAAAATGTTAACTTACTCAGCGTTACTATGTAGCACGGTAGCCCGCGATGCTATATTTCTACCCATGGGTAGTCCATACATCATAGAGGGAGGCCTCATTTGCCTGGTCCTACTCGATACGGTCCTTTTGGCACCTTCCGTCCCTTCTATGATACTGTGTTTGTTCTGAAAGAAGGTTAAGTGTTTTAGCAGCAAGTAGTTCACCTGAATCAAGCAGTTTTTTCCTTCACTAAACAAAAGAGCAATCCCAAATACCGTATATAATCGCTGTGAGACTGAACGGGTTTTAGAAATGGGTCCGATCACCGCCACCCACGTGGAGACTCATTGAGATGTTTCGCACCTGGCTTCCGAGCACTCCAGACTTCGGCACTGCTTGTTTAATTCCGATTTTTCGCGGAACAAATATCCCTTACCCACTCTTTTAGAAGGACAAACTGGGAATTAAACACTTTGGAGACCGCGCGTGTTTTATGTTCCGCGGCCGCGCGGGACTTCGGTGAAATTTTTAGGGATCTTATCTAGCAAATTCAAAAGAAGAACCCACTGTGTAATGCAGAAGAAATCTCATCGGATAAAATGGAAAAGAAAATGACATGAAAAACCTCGTAATAACTTCGAATTGAGTGCGCTGAAGTCATCGTGTAAGGCTTGCAGCCCACCTATGGCTGCGTGGCTCCACAAGGTTTAATGAACTTTACCAACTGGATGAAATCGAGAGCGCGTTGCACTGTGTGCCCTTCTCCACCAAGCAAAAAACTCATCTAGAAGCCCATTCTATTTCAATGGGTTTTCCTGAATGCAGCTGCGGTTCATGTCGAAATGGCTAAGAAAAACCACGACGGCTTCCTGTTCCGCTTTTCTTAGAAGTTTTTCTGGAACATGTGTCGAGGCGTCTATGACTGAAACAATGAAGAATTAGGAATAAGAGGAAGGGGTTATTGTTGACGAGACGAGGATGCGAAGCAAATTGCTTGTAAATGAACCGAAAATCAGCTATTTGTAGACGTACTATCTTTGCACGAAACGCACAGATATGGGTGACAGGCCAAGTTCTCCCAATTCTTTAGACTGCACACCCTCGCGCCGCCTTACCTTTCCCGTGTTGTGTCTCCTTTCAAAACTCTTGGAAGGCGGGTGCTTTATGTATACTCTATACGATCAGTTGAGAGTAGATGGGACACGCCAGTCCCCACATAATGGACTTCGAGCAGGTTCAACTGTCGTGTCTCCTTTTTCCAGAAATTTTCCACGACCTGACTCTTTTTTTAGGAGTGGTCTCCATGCCAACTCCACACAAAGCATAGTCCAAAAGGCTCCTCAAAGGTCCCCCTCCCTCTAACCCGACCGCCACCCTCGCCATCATACTGTTCTATGGCATTCGGTGCATTCCTAAAAATCGTCGAAAAAACAAAGCAACCTACTTTTCTAACAACCACACCATTTCAACTGTCAACGCGCGATCCGCTTCGTCTGCTCTTCCAGTGTTGTAGCTTTTACTCAACCGCTAGATCGTACCTCCCTCCAAAAGCGCAAATGTGGCCATCTCATTCGAATATTGCGAACGTAAGGTTGACCGGTGATTCGATGATACCCACTATAGTTGTGATTGCGCCACGTAGTCGTTTCTTATTCGGAGTCGTATAGGAATTGGAATACGTACCAACCTGTACAATAAACTCTCGCGGCTACTCTGCGTTCGATAGGCAATTCTAGGCGTTCAGACAGAAACCTTCACCAATGCAACATCTGCATATGCATAGACTTCTCGCACCCTGCTCAAGTGGGCTTTCATTTGTAATTCAGAAGCACACGATTACGACCAGGCCGCTAACGGTCACAGGAGCGGTGTGGTGTTGGGGCTTCAACTGGCAAACTTCGAATTGTTTGTAAGGGGAATTGGAAGTAATTTATGGAAGCAGCATTATCTAGCATTGTTTTAATTATCTGGAGCTTGTTAAATTAACTAAGTTTGTTGTACTGAATCTTTGAAATACTTATAGATAGTGGAGCTCCCATAGAAGAGTGGAGCCATGGAATTTTTACAACTCAAGTATGGGGCCTTTTTGAAGCTTTATAAGCTCTTAGCAAATGTTCACAGTAAAAGAAATGGAGAAACGGGCAGAGGGACAGGCTATGGCTGACTTATCTGAGCATTAGGACCTGGATCAAAGTGTGCCCTGGGCTGATCAAACCTTCCAAATTCAAGACCCAGTCAACTGGCACCAGGCTCGTCACTGTCTCCTATGATATGTGGGCTGGCTAAAATTATTATTGTACAGGCGAAATCGCATTAAATTCCATCACCATTTTGAATGGAAGCCGGGTACTGGGTGCTTCCTATATAGAAATCAACAAGGGCTAAAAGTTCTATGCTTCCAACTTTTGACTTTTTAAACTCAAATTCGATATAAAAAATGAAATCTATCCCTGAGCTTCCCAATAAAAACAATAATAAAATAAATAAATAAATAAAAATAGCACAGACCTAATCTTCAAGGTACCATACCTTAAGGATATGAATTCTAGGGAAAATTTGTCGAAGATGATGGGAGCTTAATTTTCAGAGCTTGGAATTCTCAGCTGGTCAACATGCGGTGGCCATCGATGTTCCAATGGTCTACATGGAAAACTCCTACAGCGATATTTACATCTCCCCGAATGGTATCATCGGATTTGGTGAACGGCTCCCAGGTAGGAAGTTTTTCCCGAATCCTCTTTCTCTTCTGTGTGTATGATCGGCTCTTGATTAACACCCTTCAGATACGGTGACGCCTCTGCAGAGGCTAAACCAAAGCGCTATCGCTGTCTTCTACGCTCCAGTCCGTGAAGGCGACGTTTACTTCAGGTAGGCGAACTTTCATAACACTCTTCTTCAGCGTTTATTTTAAATTCTGGATGGACTAGTAGGTAGAGGTAATCGGGGTGTTGAGATTTACAGGTTTATATGTGCATTCTTTAGACCTTGTGGATCTCCATTTTTGTTGAGGCAAAATCTGAGCCTTCAAAAAAAAAAACACACAAAGCTAACGGTGTTATTTGCTTGACTTGCCGGATTGTCATGCTACTGTTTTTCAGTCATAAATTTTGATTCAATTTATTTAACTCTGGTCTTGGTTTAATCTCTCATAGTTCGAGAATACACATTTTCAATTGATCGTAGTTAAGGGGTGAGGGTAGGCATTGAGGGCGAATACTAGGCCGAGTTTTGGTCAGATTTAGACTTTATTGCGGCTTATGTGCTATAATGTCACGATGAGAGGATTGAAGTCAGCTGGCTTGATTTTTCTGAGTACTCTTCAAACCATGTCGGGAACTACTAGTTATAATACAGAACACGGCTAGCTGCAGAAGGTGCTTGACTTGATACATATGTAAACTTTGTGAATCAGACTTTCCGGAAAGTACTTTGCCATCTGGCACTTGCACAGTCAGCAAAACTGCGCCACAACAGGGAAATGAAAGACCAAAACCTTCCCATTTAGGGCCACATCGTCCGATCAACGTCTTCTTCGTCGCCTTACCGATTACATTCACAAGACGTTTGCCGATAGTTCTGACTTCACCACTCTTCAAGCAGTAATCGTCACATGGGAAGGTCTGCAGAATCAAGAGCTGGATGGAGAGGCAACCTTTCAGGTGAGGAATTAGGGACAATTGATATGGGTACCTTTTACCTGATCTTGTAGCTCTGTTTCAGCTTGCTCTCGCATCCGACGGTATGATTTCCTATGCACTGATACAGTTCCTCACGTTGCCGTGGTCCGCATCTGGAGGACGCTATGCACAAAGTGGATTCTCCATGTCGGATGGGCGACATCAGGGCAATATTAACTCTGGAACACCGGATGTAAAGGATCTAGTTGGGTAGGTGACCGAGACCATGAAAATGCATAAAGGACAGGGTTGGTGGGTTATGAAGAGGTGCGTTACAGCTTCTTCTCCTCAGGTCAGCTCACCTAAAACTGTGACACCACTTCTATGGTCGAAGCAAGCGTAGGACTAAGCTAGTCCGATCGTAGGCCCTCGTCATAAGTTCACATATGTGTTTGGGTAGGTTCCTAAGCCCCAACGATTGTCTTAATTAATAGCCCTTCTTACAGTTAGGGATGCGCCAAAAAGATCGCACCATCCGACTATTGAACGGTGATATAAGCAGCCTCAGGAGAAGAGGGTGGCATACTCTTGGGGTTCTAGGAGCTTATGCTGCAGAATAGCTTCTTGCATCTATTCTGGCTCCTTTGACGATAATACCCGAACTATATTTTTTGAAGTCTAGCTGTTTACAAATTGTTACTGTTTACTGTATGACTGAACTTTCAGGCTCTCGAACAATCCCGAGGGTACGTCGTTCATCTTCCGCATCTCCGGCTCAGCCATAGAGGATCCACGAGAGAATGCTGAAGAATACGAGTACAACAACTATGACCAGACTGACTACGACGGAGACGAGCGAAAACCACGTAAGCTCGGCAAATCGTAAGCAAATCCGCTGTTCCTCAAATTTATTTTTTAGCAGCGGACTGCCCAGTTGATCCGTATAGTGACAGATGTCCGGAAGGATGCAATATTCTCACGGATGAGCGAATGTGTTCACGCTGTATTTGTGCAGGTATGCATTTCCTTTTATTTATTTTTTCCAATAGTTATATTTATTTGTGGGTTGGGTTTTTTTCAAGTTGTGCCTATTCGAGTGCCAAAGATTGCTATGTGAATGTTCAGAGCCACAACCAGAAGACGAAGCTAGCGAAAATCAGGTGCCAGAGATCAGGGAACCACTTCCACCGTTGCCACGTGGTGGAGCTTCTGATGCCCACCGATCGCATCATCAACACCAAGATTCAGCTCGAACCGATGATCGTCAGAGCTTTCCACGAGAAGGAGATGAAAGAGAACAGGAAAAGGATCGAGCAGTGGAACGGCAGCCAGAGCAGGAGCAGCAGCGACAGCCAGAGCCGGAAAGGGAGCAACCGGAACCACAAAGTGAGCACCAGCATATTGAGACTTTAGCCGCCGAGTTGGCTCACCGCCATTGTACCGGTGGCCATTCATAGCAGAGTGAACTTAGCAGTGATTCTCTGGCAGGTTTTCTTTTATTGAAGTCAACAGTGCAATAGTTTGCTGGGGAAGTAGACTTTGGAAATAATTGACACAATCCCATATGGGACACTTTTAAATCATTACAACCGAAAAATCGGGATTTCCTTAGATGGGGGCTGGGGCAAAAAAAAAACAGTCACTTTGCCTACGGCGCACATCATCAAACTTTTCGTTGCACTGGTTGTCGCATTTGATGAAACGTTTACAATGGCATATTTCATGGCTTTCCCATAAGCTAAAGCAGGCCCGTATTCACTGCTCTCATAGCCTTCAGAATGTGACGTGATGATCTATCACCGCCGAGCTCAAGGAGGCCTACCGTAAGACGCTTGACCTTGCCTTTTGAAATTGTTGGCTATCACTACATATTCTTGATCGATATTAAATATTCTCGACTGATAGTCTTCAAGTTTGAATGCATACCGAATATAAGTAAGATTCAAAGGTGACAGGCTGAGGAGTTATTCTAAAATTTATCTTTTTGGAGGCTTACAATGTCCTAAAGGGAAGCTGGGTAAATGCTCGATGGCATATGAGTCACTTATATCCCAAATTCGACTCCTCGAGCTAGTGTGCAATGGTGCTTCACTATTCTTGACATGTTTTTTCATATTTATACTATTCAGGGGCACTGTAAACCGCCTAACATCTTTCATCAGAACAACTCATCGCTAGCATGAGTTGCCTGACTTCCTTTACCTGTCGTTTGAAGGTCTAAAATGATTACTGACTTTCACATCTTTTCAGGCGAAACTAGCCAGCCGGCAAGAAATTGTGCTGCTGCTGGTGCAGCGGGCATGTCATGAGAATGGTGGCGTTTGCACTTGAGGCGTTGCTATTGAGATTTTTGAATGTCTTGGATAATCCTGCCTGAGCGAGACCGAACACATGTTGTGTCAGAATCACAGAGCGACTGATATTTATGGAATGAACATAATTCTGAAAGCGCACGTCACATTGGCGCTACAATCGCTTCGACCCTTTCAATCGCTATCATGTTGCATCGTCGTGAATGGATAAGTGCAATGCCGCAATATAAATAGGTAAGGCTTTCGAGCTTCAAGACCCTACTTTCGTTTTGGCAATTGTCTTTCTATCCATTGCATGTTTTGTTTTTGAAATTGCCAGACAGGCACGAGATTAGCGAACAAACCCTGGACTGGCCGATGTTATGATCGTAACTCAGCTCTCCGCAATTTCATCAACGTCATTTTTTTTTCTTCTCACTCATTTATAGTATTCATCTCATTATTTCTTTGATCTAGAGACTACACTGATGGATTCTGTTGTGAATGTCAAGCAGGTTACTACGGTAACGGGAAGGATTGCGAGAAGAAAGGTACGTGTTTTAGGTTCTTGTCGAAAAAGAAACCAGCTACCCCTTCTCGCCCCCCGCCGTCTCGTCTTCCGAGGGGAGCTAGTAACTTGCTGAGAATGGTCACCGATCGTTTTTATTTGATATTAAGCAAGACTGTTTTACTTTATTTCATAGTTTTTCCTTCAGTATCTAAACTTGATTTTATAGTATTTTTCTCAGTAAGTGACCAACAAGTGACCAGATCCAAATGATAAAAATGAGCATTTTGGGTGAGGGTCTGCATATGCCTCTCAGAGATGGCTAAGAATAAAAAATGATGTTACCGTCAAATCGAAAAGCTTGTGGTGCCGATTTCCGACTTCCGGTTGCAAAGCAGAGTAGTTTGGTTTTCGGGATTTGGGCTATTGCCGCCGTTCCCGTGGTAATAATATCGACCTCAAATTTCTCATTTCAGAGTGGTCTGGCTTATACTACTTTAGTTCAGAAGTTTTGCCATTCACAACCCTACTTTTAGGACTATCAATGTCTGAATCGGTGATTTCAGGTGATCCACAGAGGATTTCCGGCTCACTTGAAGGTGTGATCAATGGAGTTTCCATCGACCAAGTCATTCTGCACACATTGGTCACCGCCACAGATGGTCATGCCTACACAGCGCTGTCGAAGATTCCGTCAGATCTCGGACATCAGTTCCTTCTACTGAATGCGATTGGCTCTATCATGGGATGGCTTTTTGCAGATGTGGGTCTCGCTTCGGGCAACTCTCACAAATGTCGCCTACGATTCTTATTCTATTCGTTTAGGTACAATCGCATACCGCTTACAACGGTTTCCAGTTGACCGGTAACCATCTCAACCGTACCGTAACCCTTCATATCGGCGATCGGTACCATGTGTCAATTCGGCAGCAGTTCAATGGCAAAGACGCTTATCACTATCTAAAGGTCACGGTAAGAACCTGGTAGTAGCTACTATGGTTATTTCATGAAAACTTTTCATATTTGTTTTAAAACTCTAGTTTTTTAGTAGTTCATAAAAACAGACTTCGTGCGTTGAAGGCGAGAGATTTTATGCCGAAGTTTTTGGATCGAACATAAAATTAGAAAGTAATTGACCCCTTTAATTCAAAAACACTTCAGGTCTTCGTTTCTGGAACCTTGCCAGACATTGCTCCTGGAACCGAGATCGCATTCCCGGACTACGAAGAGGAGTATCGTCGTGAAAGACCGGGTAATTGATTGACACCAGAAATCGATAATATCGGCATTCGATTGATGGTGTTCTGTTAAGGACTTATTCGTTCTTACACTGGCATGGACATCCAGCTGAAAGAGCATGGTCAGCCGAGATCGATGAGAATGACTGTTGACCAACAAATTCAGTATGAGGAATGCCCTCACCGACCGGTAAGAGCTGAGTTGAACTTGGCCCGTTGTGGAAGTTTATTCGCTCGTGCAAATGGGCGGGTTGATCGCCCTTGTGGGCGGTACAATCCCATTCGAGTATTTTTTCTGGCCTTATGACTTAACTCGCGATAATTTTGTCGAAACGACCGATATTCCATCTGTAGACTGGAAACTTTATTTGTTCCATTCAGTCACCAGGGGGTCAGTCAGGTCACGCAAGGCTTTCTCAAAACAGTTTTTTACGTGCTCAGGGGCACATGCACGATTCACGTAGT